ATAAAAAAATATATTTATTTATTTATGTATGTGTCATCGGACAGATAGCGTTGAATTTTCCATTCAATATAGTAAGCGTATCTGTTCGCAATTTTGTTAAGAAAGTTGCAAAGTGGATAAGTTGTATAATCTTTTTGAGTACCGGTTTATAGACATTGACAACTTCCTGATCAGCTTGTGCTGCGTATTGCAATCAGGGAGAAAATTGTGATACTAGGAAGTATTGCCAATTAATTACTTATAAATATAAAGAGGAGCCTGAGACTTCGGTGTGATGATCTACATATATCATGAATAAAATTGTAATACATATCATGCGAAGTGTATGAGCTTTTAATATGTAGTCCCAGCTAAATTTCGCGTAGCATATAGTTTAAGCAACTTTCCTGCTAAATTCTGCGCTCATTTTTAGTTAGTCTTTGAGCAGGATTAAAACAAAAACAAGAAGAAAACCCCCTTTTAAAACCTTTTGTATGCCAAAACAATTATGTAGCTAGCAGGAACGGGAGATTGGGAATTGTGAGTCTTTTAGGTGGCATCGCTAAGCGAAAGCCAAGTGGAGACCTCTTTCTGGCACTTGCACATCCTGTCGCCGACAAGTGAATCATTCGTGGCATGCAACAAAGACGCAGAGTAGTGGAAGCAGAAAAAAAAACAAAACATGCCACAGAAACTGCAGTCAGTGAGGCAGCTCCGGCATCTCGTCAAGCAACTGTCGACTGTTTCATTCTGCTCCTTGGATCCTACTCCCTGTCTCTGTCCGCGTCCCTGTTCCTCTTCCTGCCTGTTTGCCAGCGGCCAGTTCGTCAGGCAAAAACCAAAGAATGGAAAAAGGAAAAAGAGGCCAGCATTTGAGTGGCAGCCTCAATGCATGCAACTCGCAGCTGTGGCTACACATTGTGGGGGTCTCTCTTTTGTCTTTTGTTATGCGTGCTTGGGCGCAAATGAAGCGGCTGCCCGAAGAAGTTGCTCGCGGCAAGGGGCAGTGGGCGGAGGCAGGGCTAGCGGCAGCTACTGTCAGCTGTTGCCTGCTGCACGCGCGTATCTTTAAGATACAAAGATACATTTAGAGTGGGGTATTTTTTGCATCTAGCTCGTTGCATTAAATGGAAAGCGCTTCAGGCACAATTTTTGCACCTCCGGGTGTGTGTGGATTTTCGCTTTCAGTCAGCTCCCTAATAGTGTGAACTATAAGCAGACGAGGGGTGCTCCATTAGTTCAGAGAGCTGAGAGCCAAAGAGAGAGAGAAAGAGAAGAAGACAAACAGGTAGAGAGAGGGGGAATTAGATTAAACGAAGGGAAGGGAGGTTAGAGAGAAGGCAGAGACTGAGAGGGAGAGATAGAGAGAGGGGAGAATAGACACAGATATGGAGAGAGATTATTCACAGAATTTGCCAATCTCTATTTTTTCTCTCTTACTCTCCTCTCTCTTTCTTTTCGAAGCCTTCCTGGATTGTTCCATTTCGTACGCTCAGTTCAAATATTCAACTATCCCAAAAGCATAGAAATTTTTGAAAATATATTAAAAGTTTCCTCTACACAACATTAGTAGCAGCCCTCGTAATTTTATGCCGCATTTGTTTATTTTCAACAGAAATTTCTGCGTTTTATGTTTTTGGAAGTTGATGTTTAATTTGTCCGTCGGTTGTTATTGTCGTCTCTGTTGCTGTTGCTGTAGCCTGCTGACTGGCAGCTCATTGTTTTTGTTTATCGTTTCATGAAAGGAAAAAAAACTTTCAAAAACTTAAATTGCACACAGTGCGCCCCTACGAGAAAGATGAGAAAATAAAACCGAAAGAAAGTTCGTTGGCTTTGGCTCTTCGGTTTTTGGTTAGATGAACAACAATTGCTTTGATTAGCATAACAACGAATTATGACTAAAGTCTCTTGGGAGCTTTTGCCAACCCTTTGTCACAGATGTCGTAACGTTTATTTTCATCTCTGTTTCTGAAATTCATAAAATTTCGTTTTTATCCGAGCTCTGGACACTTTTCCATATTGAACTTGGCCATAAATACTTCACCCAGAGTCTAGTTCTTTCATAATTTATGCAAATATTTACATATGAGTTTAGATTTAGCCACCCAGCTTAATAATGGTGCTGCTTACTAATGTTATTAAGATCGGTTCGTTTATTTGTGATTAACAAAAAGATTAGTGTTTTTTATACTTATAGTTAAAACATTATTTAACTGAATTTGCAGACCAAAGAAATCTGATCAACAGTGAAAAATTAGTTATAAAAAATTGTTATGAGAATATGGAATATTACCATAAAGTTGGCGTAGATATTTACAAAATATACACATGTACATGTACATAAATATATGACATAGTTTATAATTTATTATTATTTTTATTATTATTATTATTATTATTATTTGCTGAAGCTACAAATCTTTTACGCTAAAATTTAATTTCTCGCATCAATCACTTCATATTGGATGTGTTAAGTTTAGATGAAGTGCTTTGAGACCTGCTTATTGCTCTTCTTTTGTTTTTCATTGGAAAACGTGTTATTATACATATTACAGCACTTATTAACACCGCAATTAGAACAGCGAGTCAATGAGGCACTTCCTGTTACAGCGAAACGTATGTGATACGATAAAGAGCGCTACATTTAAAACTCACCCTAAACTAATTGACATAGTTTCATAGTTGTTTCAGAACAGGTCTACCGAAACACTCTTTCCCTCCCCTTCCCCCACACCCGACCTTCAATGCATTTCAAACGATATGCTATCTCTTTTGCGTCAGGCAAAGAAGCCCAACAAGCAAAATCTGAGCTGCTGCTGTTGTTGTTGTTGTCTCGCTCTTACCCTCATTAACATGTCCCGATCGAGGCAGTGCGTCCTTTTTTGGCACTGCGGCCGTTGTTGTTGTGAAATTGTTCATCTTCCTTTGTTGTTCTTGGCGATTTTGGTGAAATTCTCTTCCCGAAGTTATATTTTCTGTTGTTGTTGCTGTTGAACAGGTGTTTTAGTTATGAGCTCAAGGACGAGTTGTTGTTGTTTTTGTTCTCTTTCGCTCAGTTTCAGTTTCAGGTTTGATGCTGCCGCACCTTCGCTTCCAGTTGAGCGACGGCGGCGGCCCGTCGCTTTCAATAGATAAACAATTAAGCAGAAACAAACCTGACTTTGATTTTTTTTAATTTTAGAAATTTTTCACTTAATTGCGTCGCTCTGACTGCGCTCGACTATGTTGTGTGGAATCCACTTGTGTTTAGTTATGTTGCTTGCAACGCATTTCACTTTCACGCCACGCGATTTATTTATAAATTTCACACCAACATACACACACTCATGCTCACTCACAAAAACACAACACAAACAAAACGCGCGCGCGTCTTTGGGCAGCAGCTGCAATTTTTGTGTCCAGTTCGGCAAACCACGTCGCACTTCTGCCGCAATTTATGAACGCGCTCGCAGCTCATTCAACAGCGAAAGCCGCTCAACGAATGCGGCAATGGGGATGGCTGGCTTGGTGCCTGACATATCGATAGGTCGATAGTTTTTGACATTCAAAATACGTTGATTTCGAAGAACACTTCAAAAGCAATTCGAGTTTCATTAATATTGTAAAAAATTTACTTGAATGATTTCTTTTAACTTTAGTAAAAAAGTAAAAATACAACTATTTCTCAACTATTTTGCTCGTTTAAAACAGTTTAAAATTGTCTACAGATATCGATATACCGATATCTCTGCAATAGTTGAGCGCGCAAAAGCTGTCAATTTGATTTAACAGTGCTGCCAATCAAAGGAAGAAAATGCGAATGAGAATAAAGTTTTAAAAATAATATTTTTCACTAATTAGTGCCAACTCAATAAAAATCCTTACGTTTAGTATTGATATTTTGCTATATCTCAATTGTGCAATGCTTAAAGCACACATTATTTATATGCTCAAAGCGTTTTTTATAGCTGTTCAATTATCCAAGTCACACACCCCGACCCAGTTTTCACACCGCATTTTAAAACTCTACAAAGAACTCTCAACACTCAAACTTGTTTGCTTTGGCTAAAAAGCAATAACAACAATTGACTAACAAATAAAACAACAATAATGAGATGTGTTATATTGTTATTTGTTGACTCATGACGTCAAGTGCTTGCACATATTTACAAGTCTCAATGTTATATAGCTCTCTTGGATATCATTGCTTCCTTAATAATTGTCATTTATCGCTTTGCTTATTTTAATTGTTTAATAGAAGTGGTTAAATGCCTCTGGAAGTTCATTCATAAAAATAAATATTACAAAGAAATGAAGTCAGGTGATGATGGGCTGCTGTGCAGATGAGTCAACGTCTTTCTGCAATGTGTTGCGCTTTATCACAAGTAAAATTGGCGAAAGTTAACAAAATTTTTGTATATCATATCTTCATAATGTCAATTCAAAATATGATTAGAAGTTGCTCAAGGGCTATTCAGTCAAACTCGGCTCAAAGAATACGCAAATCGAATTCAAAACAAAACAGAAATCACATACCAATGCATATATACCTGTAAGACACTTACATATAAACCCCTACACCTACATATGTGTAGCCAGGAGAGTGCATGTTGAAAATCAGTTGGGCGCTTACACACACACTTCCATTTTACAACTACATTCCATAATATAAACAAGAGTCAAGTCGTTTGCGCATAACGTGCCTACGTGAGAGCGAGAGCGAGAGAGAGTGCGCATTTCTAGCTGCTACGGCGATTGACTGCCTGCTTGTGACTGAGTGTGCGTGTGAGTGAGCGCGCATGTGTGTGTGTGTGAGGCTCGAGCTCTGCTTGGTAACATTCGGCAGCGCGTTCGTTGCTGTTGCCAGTTCTGTTTTGAATGTGGCTCAAAGCAAGACGTTTGCGGCAGACAAAAACAAATAACTCAAAAGACCGAAATATTATAAATAATTAATATATATTTTTTTTTAATTGTAAACAAAATAGTGAACACCAGTGTTTGAAGTGCAATAAAATAAAGTCGGAAAATTAATTACAGTTAATACAGCCAGCCAATTTTTCTGCTCAAGTGAAACAAGTTTATAAGGCGGCTTACACACACACACGCACACAAACTTCACTCAAACTGAAACTGGACTCAACGCTCGTCGCTTTCAAAGCGAAGTCAACAGTTAAGAAAAAAAAAGAAGCTTTGCCAAGAAGCTGACAGGCCACAAAGCTATGAATCATAGCACAACAGGTAACAACTGCAGCGGTGCCTAAAATAAATCAGCTTCTTCAGTGCAAATAAACGTTATGTAAAACACAACAAAAACTGAATCAACAACTGCAAAAACAACTGAGACAACAACAAATTTGAAGACAAAAAGATCCAGACCTGATCTGATGTCCGGCAGGGAAATGCGTCCCCTCTCGCTCTCCATTGGCGCCTCGCTGCTGCCCAGCTTCTCGCTGGTGAGCGCAGCCAATGGTCGTGCGGCAGACTCTGGCCAGGATTGCCATGGCAAGGTGTGCCATGCGGTGAGCGAGTACTGCTCCATGTTCGCCGAGAGCTGCATGCCGTGCGCCGACATCTGTGATGCAAGCTCCCATAACTATCATGCCGACACCTGTGCCAAGGAGTGTTCAGGTGAGTTGCAAGCAAACGGAAAAGGTTTCCATTGCATCATAAAGAAAAATAAAACATAGTTTGATTTGCCATGAGTTTGTGGCTGAAATTCAAGTGTGCATAGGGAAGTCTAGGTGTTTGTATACACTGTTCTATGTGAGCAAAAGGGGCATATTTGTTATTGCAGTTAAATATATAAATAGTCAGCTATATGACACGTCTACTAAGCTGGATTGGCAAATATTTATATATGATTATATAAATATAT